TAGTTTTTAAGTCTAGATGCGCTAATTCAAATTAGCTTAGTTCAAATTAACTAATTTGAACTAAGTTAGTTCGAGTTAGTGCTGTAATGTAGACATACCCTAATAGGTGTATAGAAATACACAAGTCCACGAACTCACGTGGCATTGTGGAATAAGACTATATAATGTAACAGGTTATTGGAATCTCTCTGGATTAACCCTTTTAGATTTAGTAATAATATAAGAAACTATCAGCACTGGCCTCTATCCATCATGCATAAAGTTTGTAACTGAATAAAAAATCCTGGGTTGTACTTTGTTTAAAGATCCAGGTGTTTCTGAGATTTTGTACGAATACATACCACCCTACCGAGACCCTCAGGCACACACAGCTGCCACTTTTAACACAGACCCTTGTGTAGCCTTTGGCCATTATCTTTGAAAAATTGTGGAGATTGGGAGAGATCCCGGATGACTGGAAAAAGGCAAATGTAGTGCCCATCCGAATACATTAACACAGAGACAATCCAGGGAATTACAGACCAGTCATCTTAACTTCTGTACCCAGAAAGATAACGGAGCAAATAATTAAGCAATCAATTTGCAAACAGCTAAAAGATAATAAGATGATAAGTAACAGTCAGCATGGATTTGTCAAGAATAAATCATGTCAAACCTAACTGATAGCTTTCTTTGACAGGGTAACAAGACTTGTGGATGGGGGAGGGGGGAAGCAGTAGATATGGTTTATCTTGCCTTTAGTAAAGGCTTTTGATACTGTCTCACATGACCTTCTCATTAACAAATTAAGGAAATACAACCTAGATGGAGCTACTACAAGGTGGGTGCATAATTGGTTGGAAAACTGGTGTCAGTCAATGGTTCACAGTCACGCTGGAAGATCATAATGAGTAGAGGGATCAGTTCTGGCTCTGGTTTTGTTCAATATCTTCATCAATTAATAAGATAATGGCAGAGAGAACACTGATAAAGGTTATGGATGATACAAAGTTGGGAGAAGTTGCAAGTGCTTTGGAGAATAACATTAGAATTAAAAATGATCAGGACAAATGGGAGAAATGGTCTGAAATAAATAGGATGAAATTCAGTAAGGACAAATGCAAAGCACTTCACTTAGGAAGAATTAGTTGCACACATAGAAAATGGAAAATGACTGCCTAGGAAGGAGTACTGTACAATGATATCTAGGGGTTATAGTGAACCACAAACTAAATATGTGTAACACTGTTGCAAAAACATTGAACATAATTCTGGGATATATTAGCAGGAATATTGTAAGCAAGTCACGCAAAGTAATTTTTCTGCTCTAGTCCATATTGATTAGCCTCAACTAGAAGCATCTTTTCCAGATCTGGGTGCCACGTTTCAGGAAAGTTGTGAACAAACTGGAAAAAGTCTAGAAAAGAATGTCAAAAATTATTAAAGGACTAGCCCAGTGGTCCCCAACACGGTGCCCGCGGGTGCCATGGCACCCACCGGGGTATTTACATGCGCCCGCCAAGTGCTTGGGGCCGGCCCCGCCCCGGGCGCAGGTTGTTTCAAAAAGGAGGAAGAAAAAATGTTCTTCTTAA